GCTTAAAACTTCCGACACATTTGACGACAGATTTTTTATGACCCCGTGCTGCGAAGAGGATCAGGTGGGAAAGGAAATTTGGAGAAGAAGAAGACGTGAGAAAGAGAACAATCAGAAAATTCTCAATGATAGGTCAAAAAAAGTGTTTGGAGAAGATGGACCGGAAACGAACTAAAAAGGACTAAAAACGGACCAAAAACGGACCAAAAACGGACTAAAACGGACTAAAAACGGACTAAAAACGGACTAAAATCGGACTAAAAACGGACTAAAAACTGACTAAAAACTGACTAAAAACTGACCAATGACGGACCAAAGCCTTTTTTGGTCCGTTTTTGAAATAAAAGTTATGTTTAAAGGCGCATAAAACTTAACCTATTTTGTACAATAAAAGCGAAAATAAACAAAATTTTGAGATAATTTTTAGAGAAAATCCTGGAAATTTCAGTTTTTCGAAAATTTAGATATTCTTAGAGGTAGAAAAATGTTTAAACATCATCTAGAACTTTTTGGAACCCCTAAATCTTGCTTTACACAAAAGCAAAAAAAGTTTGACGCCGGGTGGAATCGAACCCTGGTGTTGAGATTCCCGAATTTTCATGCTCAAAAATCCACTAGGCCATCTGACCGACTTTTTGGAAAATCTCTATTTTCATTCGTTTCTCAAAGGTTATGTAGGTTTTCGAGGCTTTTAGAGCTATAAATGACTCAAAACAAACCACAAGAAGATGTTTTGACCCATTTTTGACCTAAAAATTATGTTTAAAGGAGCATAAAACCAATTTTCTTGAAAAAGCGGAAATGAAAAAGGATACACAAACGAGAGAGAAGAAACTTTCAAAAAGAAGGGGGCGGAGCCTCCTCATAGATTTCCTTAGACGGGGATGAATCGGGAGAGGGGTTTTATGTGCTCACGGAGCACACAGGAAGAGTGTCCGTTGAGCACGCACAATAAACATACACACTTTTGTAGGGGGTCAGGAGAGGGGTGAAAAGCTTCTTCTTATTTGTACACACTATCATTTTTTGTACTGTTTTCTATTAGTTTTTTCAAGTGCTCCTGGTCACTTTTGTACTTGAGAGGGATAGGGGAGGAGAATGGTCAGAAATGAGCTGAAAACGGATCAGAAACGGGCCAAGGGCAGACCAATATATTCAGCCTGTTTTGAACTGATTTCGACCTATTTTTGGTACTTTTTTGGTCTGTTGATACTTACTAAAAACGAGTTTTAAAAAACGGGCCGTAAACTTTTTGAAACGGACCAAAAGCAGACCAACGACGGGCCAAAATAGTTTATGATCTGGACCAGGTTTAGATGTTTTCAGCCTGTTCTTGGCCCGCCTTATATTCGTTTTTGGCTCAAAAATCGAAAAGTTGAATCAATTTATGTTTCAAGGCGCATAGAATTCTCTATTGGACTTTGAAACCATTTTTTTGAATCAAAAACATTGATGCTAAACTACGGTAGATCAAAAAATGTTTGCAGCAGACAACGACCTAAATAGGACAAAATCGGGATAAAAATATACAACAAACGGCTTGAAACGGACCAAAAACGGACCAACGACAGACCAAAGAGGTGTAGGCTGGACCAGGTTCAGCTGTTTTCAGCTTATTTACAACCGTTTTCGACCCAAAAGTGCCTGAATTTGTAACAATTTTTGTTCGAAGGCGCATAGTTTTACTAGCATGACACAGTCCATTTTTGATACACTTTGAACACGTTCGAGATCCGTTTTCAACCCAAAACTCTCAAATTTGAAACAATTTATGTTTAGAGGCACATAGCTTTACTAGCATGGCCCAGCCCATTTTTGACCCGTTCTTGATCCGTTCTAGATCCGTTGTAGGCTCAAAAGTATCAAATTTGAAACAATTCATGTTTAAAGGTGCATAGCATCTTTCGTTGAACTTTGTACACCAGTCTTACTACGTAGCTAATTTTTCAAGGTCATTTTCTTTCGAGAAACCTCTAAAGGTCAGTCACAAAATGGTCTGGCCATATGGTTAGACCTAATTTGATAAGAAAAAAAAACCGGTTTTTTACGGAGGATGTACGTTCTTTCTGATATTCAACAGTTGGATTTTAATTCAATTAATTGGGAACAAGGTAATTGGTTTAATTAGTGAAAATTAAATTAAATGAGACAAGTTTTTAAAAATTCCGTCTTTTGGGATAAGACTTCAGAGCTTAGGGTAAGCTTTGATCTCTTAATTGAGCTTGGAACAAATATTTTTGTATTCTCCCCCGCGCGCGCGCTTAGAGAATCAGTAGATCAAAAACATTATCACATGAAAAGTGGAAAAAGCTCTAGACGGTTCCAAAGGAATCTCAAAAATGAGAAAAATTACTATTATTGGATACAATTATGTACTAGAGGGGTCAGTGAGAATTTGTTTGGTGTAAATATTGACTTTTCGGGAGAAAAAGAGAGTAGGAGGTGGTTTTTTTTGGAATTGGAATAGGAATATAGATAGTCACGAGGGCTTTTAGTAGAACCAGTAGGAGGATTTTTGGGATTTTTGGGACGTTTTGTTCCAAAAGTCCCAAACATCAAACTTTCTAATTTTCATTATTCAGTTAAGCATAACCTTTAAAGAATTTGAGCCTACTTTTTGCAAATTCAGAGTCTTTATCTATAATTTAAAGCAAGTTACGCTTCTAGAGAGACGCAGACAACGAGAGTTCTCTCGCTTCTCTGCGTCTCACGCGCAAACTTTAAAGGCGCATATCTCGAGAACCCTTAGAGCTATCAAACAACTATAAACTACGAATTTGTGTAAAATTTTATGCTTTGCTGAGTCGTTTGCAGCAGTAACCAATAATTTTAAAGGCGCATATCTCAAAAACTAAGCTAGCTATGAGAGAATCCGAAGTTGGCCCGTTTTTGGTCCGTTCTAACTCGTTTTCGTCCTTTATTGCCGGGAATTCGGTATTTTCAAAAATCCAAAAAAATTTTAAAAAATTTAAAAAATTCCGAAACGCTTGTGGGTCAAAAAAAAAATCAAAAAACGGACCAAAAACGGGTTGAAAATAGTTGAAAACATGCTGAAAACAGCTAAACCTGGTTTAGACGATAACTTCTTTTGGTCCACCGTTGGCCCGTTTTTGGTCCGTTCTAACCCGTTTTGAATTTTTTGGCCCTTGGTAAGTTTTCAGTCTTTTTCGTTTGTTTTAGGCACATTTTGGGCCCGTTTTTAGTCAGTTTGTAGTCCCCATGAGAGTAAAAATTTAAAAAAAAAACAAAATTGCGAGTTGCTCTCTGTTTGTCGGTTTGTCTGGATGTCCGCATGAAATACAAAAATATCGTATTTTGGTGGCCCAAAATATCCGAAAGTATAAAAAAAACTTCGACGTCTGAACTCTTATCATCAAATCATTACTCATCTGATCTCCCAAGAACACACAATCGTCATCAACCCCCCTCGTTTCCCTTTTTCCGATTTTCTTCGTTTGATTTCGATTCATTTTGATCTTCAAGAAGAAGAAGACGTGTCTCTATTTTTTATCAGCAGCCTAGTGATAAGGCGCCTGTTTTGCAAAAAAAGTTCAAATCTGCTACTGTGTTTGAGTAGTCGTCAATGTTTACTTTGTTCGTTTCGAAAGCTCAAAAGTGCACAAGTACACTTTCGGGGGGCAGAGAAATTGTCTGAAACTTTCAGAATACAAATCCTAGCCCAATTATGCGCCTTTAAGGCTACCATTCCACAAATTCAGACATTTATTGAACAAAAACGGACCAAAAGCAGACCATGAACGGATCAAAAACGGTTCGAAACAGGATGAAAACAGCTACCATTCGCTGGCCCATAAGTCGGCTCAAAATTGGAATTTTAAATCGAATCAAAAAGTAAAATATAGAACTCAACAAGATCTATAAAATGATATACAAATAGATTAAGTTTAAAAAGCCAGGTTGATTCAAATGAAGCCCTAAAACAACCTCTCAAAATCGACATCGAATGTTTCTATGAACGGACCAACGGCGGACCAACAACAGACCAAAAGTTTGTAGGCTGAACCAGAACCGTTTCTGACCCGCTTTTGGTCCGTTTTAGACTCAGAAGCTTCCTGGAATACGCCTGTCAAGTTCATAACTTTAGTTTTTTAATTAAGTTCAAGTTTCCAAGATTTAGCCCAATAGCTCGATTGTACTTTGACACTTTTTGAGGTTCCTACGTGCCAAGAAAAAAGAATTGGCTGACAACCTTGAAAAGAATCAGATGTTGAAGGATTTCTGATGGAAAAGGTCAAAACGGTTTTCAAATTTGATAAGAAACGGGTTTTGAATAAAAATTGGACGTTTATTCGATTGGTGGTCTGATGAAGGTTTCGGGAGAGAGACTAAACTTTAGGAGGAAATATTTTGAAGGGATTTAAAGGAACATGAGAAAAACAATCTTGGAATTCTATTGCTACTAAGCTGCACTGTCATCTTCGGCTGCCGATCAATTGCTACGGGAGAAAGTTGGACTCAAAATTTCAGATTTTAATAAAGTTCGAAATCAAAGCATGCAATTGGAAATGGACCGGAACAGTACCTAAAATGACAGAACCAAAGAACCGAAAACATATCAAAAACAAGGATAAACTGGTTAAAAAAATACCAAAATCTGGCCAAAGATAAACTGAAACGGACCAAAAACGGGCCACCGACGGGCCAAAAGAAGTTATGGTCTGAACCTGGTTTAGCAGTTTCTAGACTGTTCTAAACCGTTTCTGGTCCGTTTTCAGTCCGTTTTTAATCCACAAGTGCGTTTGCTTAAAAACGGACTATAACATACCAAAATGACAAAAAACAGACAACAAACGGTTTAAAACGGACCAACGACGGGCCAATAAAAGTTGTGGTCCGACCGTTTTCAGCCTGTTTTCAGCCGGTTTTGACCCGTTTTTGGTTTGGTTCTGGTCCGTTTTTAGGCTTGTTGGATTTCCAGTTTTTTCCAATTCCTCTGAATTCTTGAACTCTGGTAGTACTACGTCTTCTTTATCACGTGTTACCAAAAATACGAAAAGTGATGTATGTACAGAAAAAAGAGAAACATTGCAAGGTCAAAACTTTTCTAGGGGCCAGAATTGCAGAATACGAAAAAAAATAAAATTTTGATTACTTTTCAATGCTCAAGACCTTATGTTTTATACTGTAGCTTCTTCCTGTTATTCATTAAAAATAGTTTAAACAAAAAAGTTGAATTTGTTTTATTTTGGCTACCAATGACGTTCGGAGACCATCCGGGTGTGGGTTCAAAGTGATGATACAATGATATCAAACAAAAATGTTTGTTTTCACTGTCACTAATCTTTTATCCTCTATCTTCTCTCTAGAAGTTCTTTTTATCTCTCTCTCTCTCTCTCTCTCTCTTCCTGTGGGAGACTATTGATAGTGAGGGGGATGTAAACTGATGGTATCATGTTTGTTAAAGTGAATCTGATAAAAATTTCAAAAACTACAAAAATGTTGTTTCGGACGAACAGCGGAAGTGATGAGGTCACCTGATCTGTCTGTGGATCTGTATGTCTGAATGTCTTTCATAAGATTTAGAAATAGACCAAAACATGCCATCAAAAGTAGTAAGTAGTTGATAACGGGTTGAAAAAGACCCAAATCCGACCAAAAAGGATTAAAACGGGCCAAAAATGGACCAACGACGGACCAAATGAAATTATCGTCTGAATCAAGTTGTACGGTTTTTGATCTGTTTCAGGTGCGTTTTCAACCCAAAATGCAGGAAATTCTTCTTTAAATTCAATTATTTTTCGAAACATTTTCTGAAAGTAATGAAAAATGCTTTAACTACCCAAAATCTTTTTTTTTTTTGTGATTCCCTAGTATTTTCCTCTTCACCTTGCAACATTCATGTCAACATATCATTCAAACATTTGGTTTGTTGTCCCTAATCACTTTTCTAATACCTTAAAATGTGAAAAAGAGGCGGAGTTTCTCAGGAGAAGTGATTAACATGTCCCGGTGCAATAAGGTTCAAAAACCTAGTTTAAATTGGTTTAAAAAAGCAAAAATTCCGGCCAAAATAGGCTAAAACGGGTCAACGACGGACCAAGAAAAGTTATGACCTGAGCTAGGTTTAGCTGTTTTCAGTCTGTTTTTTTTTGCCGTTTTTGTTTTTTGAATTTACTAGAAACGTGCTTAGAATTGCAAGAAAAACTGAAATTCTACTAAAATACAGCAAATAATTGATGACGGGATGAAAAAGACTAAAAATGGGTAAGAACGGACCAAAAACGGGCCAACACAAGTTATGGTCGGGACTAGGTTTTGGCGTTTTCAGTCTGTTTTGAATCGTCTTTGACCCGTTTTTTGGTCTGTTTCAAATGTAAAAAAATTTCATTGAATTAAAAATCATAATTACATCCAATTAAATTCCCAATAAACTCATTTTTCAAATCCTAATTATTTTCCAATTTTAGGTCATCTGAAATTAAGTTCGAAATTTGATGTGGTTTTTTTTTCTATAGTTAATTTGCAGTTGTATTTTTATCAAAAAATCATAATTACAAAAATTGAATTTAAAAAAAAAACTAAGCTCCATCCCTTCTGCAAAGCCGCCGCACAGTTCAGTCGAAGTTTTCAGATGTCAACATTGAGCCGACATATCTCATTTCCTGTGAAAGATATCAAAAAGTTGTCAACTATCAAAATGTTTATCATATTATCAGTAAAATTTTGTTAGTTAACCATTTTTTAATATCTCGTATAGGAACCGAGATAAATAGGCTCAAAGATAACGGGTTCTTCTATGGGAATCAGTGTTCGCGAACGAAGCAGGTTTATCTCGGTTCCTCTGGAAGATATCAAAAAGTAGTCAACTAGTAAAATGTTTATCATATTATCAGTAATATTTTATCAGTTGATTACTTTTTGATATCTCGTATAGGAACCGAGATAAATGAGCTCAAAATTAGAGGACCTTTCTATGAGAAGCCGAGTTTTCAACCGAATTTAAGCTTAATGTATCTCGATTCCTATGAAAGATATCAAAAATCTGTCAACTAATAAAATGTTTATCATATTATCAGTAATATTTTATTAGTTGATAAGTTTTTGATATCTTTTACAGTAGCCGAGATATATGGGCTCAAAGTTAGTGGGTCATTCTACTTTTTTTCCAGTTTTTTTTCAGCCATAAGAAGATTAAAAACTGATTCATTTGTGATTGATTTAAATAAACGAATAAAATCATAAAATGTTGAAAATCTAACCGGTTTGGCTCTCTCCCACACACAGTTCATTCGTACTGTGTCGGTCGCTCTCGAACGGAAGGAAAAAATGAAAAATGGAAATAGTATGGGAAATCGAGAGACGCAGAGAAACCAGTATTTAATTTGCAAATAAGGGGGCACAAAAAACTGACACATAAACCAACTGACGACCCCCTCTCTCTCTCATCGTTTTTGATTTTTGAAAAAACATTATAAACGAAAAATGAGGAAATTTTTCATGATTTTGGAAAATCTAACTACAGTAATCCTGATACTGTACACTGGAGAAGCCTACGGTCAATTGGTCCCCTTTGAAGATTTTAGATGTGGTTCTGGAAGTTTGTCCACTTCAATTTCCTATACTTCCTCGTATTTTTGTGATCAAATTCAGTGTAAGTTGATTTTTTTGAGAATCTGAAAATCTGAAATTCCAGAATATTTGTTTTAAATTCAAAAAATTTTCAATTCCCGCCAAACCTCTGAAATTGAAAACACTGAAAAATTTGCGATTTTTTGCGATTTTTCGAGAAAAAAAAACTTTGATTTTTTGCAAAATTTCTAGACCTTTTTAGGTTTTTCAGCTATTTTTGAAGATTCTTTTTCCATTTTTTCGGTTTTTTTTGTCTGAAATTCGACTACTGTAGATTACTGTAGACACAATCACCTCAAAATGCACACAAAAAAGCTACAAAAGGAAATATGTTATATACAGTAATCTACAGTAATCTTCGCGAACACCATACTGTCAATTTTCAGACAAAAAATTCGGAAAAATCGAAAAAGCGCCGTTGAAAATGGCTGAAAAACCTAAAAAGGTCTAAAAACTTTGCGGAAAATCGAAGAAAAAATCAATTTATTTCAAATTTTTTCAAAAAAAAATTTTTTTTAATTTTTCGAAAATTTTTTTAATTCCCGCCAACCCATCAGGCGCATGGAAAATAACGCAAAAATTCAAAAAAAAATCGGAATCAGAAATTTGAAAATTTCAGAAAAATTTTTTTTTCAGATTTTTGATTTTCAAAAAAAAAATTCGAAAATTCGAAAACTTTCGAATTCCCGCCAATCCATTTTACCAATTTTTGCTACAGTAATCCAATGAAACCCAGATATACGAAAAAAATTCAAAATTTCCGAAATTAAAGATCCCAAAATATTTTTCCGAAAATTTTTTTTTTCAAAATTTCGAAAATTTTTAAAATTCCCGCCAAACCCGCCCTACTCATTTTTCCTACAGTAACCCAATGAAACTCAAATATACTAAAAAATTCTGAAATTAAAGATCCCGAAAAAATTTCCCAAAACTTTTTTTTTCAAAAATTCAAATTCCCGCCAACCTATCATTCTTACAGTAAACCAATGTTGTATGTACCATGATCTGTGCTACGCGGGCTGCACTCTACCCCAAATGGAGTGCGATAATCAATTCTGTGAATGCTTATCAACAATTATCTCAAATCCTTTTTGTATGTCAATTGTCTACCCATCCCATTGTAATTTTGTTCGCCTTTTCGGCAATTTGTTCATTTGTCCAATGATGGGCTAATTCTGGTTTGGCGGGAATTTGAAAATTTTCAAATTCCCACCAATTTCTCCACCTAATTAATTGATTACGGGCTGTCAAAATCCAATTATGTCATAATGAATAGTTTTTTGAAAGAGAGAAAGAGCTACCGGAATTTTAAGAAAAACAAGAGAAATGAAGAATATAACACAGATGTTTGAGAGGAAAGGAATCGGAAAAATTGGGGAATTTTCTAGAAAAATTCCAAAAAAAAATCTAATAAAATGGGCGGGGCCTAATTTGTAGCTTTTGGTTCGAGGAGAGGTTCGAGAAAGAAAATACTAGAAAAATGGGCGAAACGAGAAGGTAGAGGAAGAACTGGGCTCCGTGTCACTTCGAAACCGCGACACTCCGAAACCAGTCATTTCGAAACTATGTGACACTTCGAAACCAGTCATTTCGATGCAAATTTACCAGTTTCGAAATGACCGAGTTCGAAGTGTCGCGGTTTCGAAGTGTTGCGGTTTCGAAATGACTGGTTTCGAAACGTCGTGATTTCGAAATGACTGGTTTCGAAATGTCACGGTTTCGAAATGTCGCGGTTTCGAAATAACCGGTTTTGAAGTTTCGCGGTTTCGAAATGTCGCGGTTTCGAAACATCGCGGTTTCGAAATGTCACGGTTTCGAAATGTCGCGGTTTCGAAATAACCGGTTTTGAAGTTTCGCGGTTTCGAAATATCGCGGTTTCGAAATAACCGGTTTCGAAGTCTCGCGGTTACGAAACGTCGCGGTTTCAAAATGTCGCGGTTTCGAAGTGACGCGGAGCCAAAGACTGGCAAAGAGAGAGAGGGAAAAATAAATTAGTCACAAATAAAAATCAAAATAAATGATGATAATCGGGGTGGTTAGAGAAAAGTGGGCGGAGCTGAACTTGGAGATTACTGTAGTTTTTTTTTCCAAATTTTCGAAAATTCCAGAATTCTAAAACTCGAATTTTCTCAAAAAAAATTGGAAATTTCTTATCTACAGTTATCTCAATGGGAGGGGGGCAAGAATCGGGAATTTGTGTGTGGATTTTTGAAAAGTGGGCGGGGCTAGTTTTTAACGAGAATTTCAAGTTGTCTTTTTGAATTTCAAGAATTTAGGATGCATTGAGGAAGGAGATCAATAGAAAAAATGAATGGAAAAATTCAAAAAATCGATAAATGCAAAGCAATGATCACTCGACTTCGCCATCCTCCAATTCGTCCAGATCCATATCCGAATGATTCCCATTTTGGATTACTGTAGCTGTCGGGAAGCCTGGTGGCGTGATCATTGGATCGACATCGAAGGCGCGCACACTGAAACTGGACGGGGATGATTTTGGCGGGAATTTAAAATTTAAAATTTTTCAAAAATTCTATTATTTCAAAATCCCCAAAAAAAAAAAAGAAAATCGCAAATTTTCCGAATTTTAAGATTTTTAGGGGTTTTGGATTATTGGATTTTGGGATTTTTCAGAATTTTTATAATTTTTTATTTTAATGGATTTTGAGACCTTTTGAATTTTGAGATTTTTTAAATTTTTCAGAATTTTGTGGTTTTTTCAATTTTTCGGATTCTTTGAATTTTTCAGAATTTCAAGTTTTCTAACGGTTGCAAAATGACCGGTTCTAAAACGTCCGATTGGTCCAAAAAAATCTGAACATCTGAAAAAATACAAAAAATCCAGAAAGATTTAATTTTTAGACGATTTTCAGTCATTTTTTTTTCTTCAAAAATTCTAGATTCTACAATTTCAGGATCACAATTTTCTGATTTCCAAATTCCAAAAACAGTTGCGAAATGACCGGTTCTAGAACGTCCGAATGGTCCGAATTCTCGATTTTTCGATAAATATTCCAAAATTCCAAAAAATTCAGAAAATTCAAAATTTCAAAAACCCAAAAAAATCAGAAAATCCAAAAAATCCAAAAAATTCAAAAAAAATCCAAAATCTGAAAATTTCAAAATCCAGAATTTTTTTCAGTTGGTTTCTGAGGATTGTCTGGAATTCCGGATTTCTAAATGTCTTCAAATTTTTGAAGATTTTTCAAGAAATTCGAGATTTTTCTGGATTTTATATTTTCGGATTTCTGGAACATCCGAATGATCCAAATTCCCAAATTTTGACTTTAACTCTTACCTAACACTCGAATTCCCATAAATCGGTGATTCCGTAGAGCTTGGCGTCTCCACAAATGCCTTTCGATGATTTCCATTCGAATGATGATTTCCGTTTTTCGCTGATTGATGATTACTGTAGTCAGATGACGTCACCAGAGGTGGTGGCGGGAAATTCATTGTCGCTGGAATCGGCGGAACGAGTTTTCCGTTTGACGTCGATGTAGACGTGACAAAGTTGTTGGACAGAGGATCGATTCGAGCACGTTTCTCACTTCTGGAACTAGGCAGAAATTGGAAAAAAATTGAATAAAATGACTGAAATTTGGAAATTTGGAGTAATCTACAGTAATCTTCGCGACCCGCCAAACCTCTGAAATTGAAAACACTGAAAAATTAGCGATTTTTGCGACTTTTCGAGAAAAAAACTTCGATTTTTTGCAGAATTTTCAGACCTTTTTAGGTTTTTCAGCTATTTTTGAAGATTCTTTTTCCATTTTTTTGGTTTTTTTGTGTCTGAAATTCGATGGAAATTTGACGGTGTTCATGAAGACTACTGTAGACTACTGTAGACACAATCACCTCGAAATGCACACAAAAAAAGCTACAAAAGGAAATTGGCTTTCTACAGTAATCTACAGTAACCGTCGCGACCGCCCTGTCAATTTTCAGGCCAGAAACCGGAAAAATATAAAAAAAAGAATATTTGAAAATAGCTGAAAACCCTAAAAAGGTCTAAAAATTCTGCAATAAAATCGAAGAAAAAATCATTTTTTTTTCTTGAAAAATCGCGAAAAATTATGGCGGGAATTAAAATTTTCGCGATGATTACTGTGGATTACTGTAGATTAAACCTTGTATTTTCTAGTTTTTTTTTCTCTGCAAAAATATGTTTTCAGCGAAATTTAGCCTAGAAAATTGCAAATTTTGTCAAAATTTGAAGCCAAAATTCGAAAAACTAAAAAAAATCTAAAATTCGAAAAATCCAAAATTCAAAAATTATAACAATAAAATACCAAAAATTGTGAAAAATAGAAAAAAAACATAAACTTCTAAATTTCAAAGAATCCTAAAATTCGATAAAATTCGAAAAATTGAATTTTTCAGAATTTTGTGGATTTTTGGGTTTTTCGGATTTCTAATATTTTTTCAGAATTTCTAGTTTCCTAACAGTTGCGAAATGACCGGTTCTAAAACGTCCGATTGGTCCAAAAAAATCTGAAAATCTCTATTTTCAGCCAGATTTTTCTTCAATTTTCAGATTTTTAAGCAAAAATCTAGCCTAGAAAATTGCAAATTTTGTCAAATTTCCACTTTAAATTCAAGATTTTTCTATCGGTGTTTTATCGATTTTCAGCCATTTTTTCCAGCAAAATCTGACCTAGAAATTGCTAGAAATCGCTAAAAACTAGGTCACTCACCCAGTCGAATGATCCATTCTTCCTGTTATCCGATCGTGGTCCCGTTTTCGACGCTCCTCTTCTATCACTCGCTCCTTATTGAGTCTATGATAATCAAATTATCATAATTAGGAGATAATTAGGGGCCTAATTAGGTAATTTTTAAAAGGTAAATTAGGGGCCTAATTAGGTAATTTTTGTTGAAAATTCGTCGAAAATGACTCAAAAATCATATTTTCAAGCGTTTTTCGGTAATTTTTGACCATTTTTCACTCAAAATTCTCAAATTTTCCGGCTTTTTGCAGTATTTTTTTGCTGGAAATTCGTCTAAAAATGCCCCAAAAATCACTTTTTTCTAGCTTTTTTTCAGTCATTTATAGCCATTTTTCACTCAAAATCTTGATTTTTAGGTATTTTTTCTTGCAAGTTCGTTCATTACCTCTCCACAGTGAGCTCATCCTTTGGCACATATCCACGTGGACGTCCATTGGTACTGGATACTGTAGAATCGGCCGGATGAACCATCGGGCTGTGGCTACGAGCGTCTCGTGTCCGTTCCTGGAAAATTTGGGATTCTCAGTATATTTTTAGGCAATTTTCCAGCGATTTTCAGCCAAAATTTCGATATTTTCGGAATTTTTCAGGTAAATTTCCGCCGTTTTTCACCTATTTTAAGCGTAATTAACTCGATTTTCAGGTTGTTCTAACATGTTGTTTTTTATAAAATTTCAGCCATAATTTCAGATGTTTCTAACGAATTAACGAGCCTTTTTAAAGCCTATTCTTAGCAATTTTAGGCCAATTTTAGCCTCATTTTAAGCTATTTTTCAGGTTATTTTTTAGCATACTCTGATTTATTTTCAGCCCAGTTTTAAGCTGATTCTAGCCAATTTCAACCAATGTCAGCTCATAAAAAACTCACAATTTTCCTGACATCCGGATTGTCCAACGTATTCTGTGGCGGACGATTTTCTCGGAAATCTGAAACTTTTTCAGTGGTTTTAATGAAATTCTAGGGGCGAAACTCACTGAATTTTGACGCATGATGAAATTGAGCCACTTTACTATAGGTTTGCATGAAATCCGTTTCCATTTCTGTAAGGAAATATAGGGTTTGTGACGTTTTTCAGCAGATTAAGACGCATTTTCAGCTAATTTTCGTCATTTTTTCCATTTTTAGGCTATTTTTCAGGCATTTTAATCGATTTTTCGGGATTTTTGAGCATTTTTAATGCGTTTAGGTCCTATTTCCAGCTCATTTTTAGCTAATTTTCGCCATTTTAATCGATTTTTGTCATTTTTAAGCCATTTTTCATTCATTTTAGGCCATTTCTCAGGCATTTCATTCAATTTTTTGGCATTTTTGAGCCATTTTCAGGCACTTTAAGCCATTTTTCAGATATTTTAAAGCCATTTTCAGGCATTTTAAAGCCATTTTTCAGGCATTTTAAACCATTTTTCAGCAAATGTTGACTTCATTTTCATCATTTTAATTGATTTTTTGCGTTTTTTGGCCATTTTTCAGGCTTTTAAAGCCAATTTTCAGGCATTTTAGGCCATTTTTCAGGCATTTAAAGCACATTTTCCAGGTATTGCAAAGTTATTTTCCCGGCATTTTAGGCCATTTTTCAGGGATTTTAAGCCATTTTTAAGCCAAGCCATTTTCAGCAAATGTTGACTTCATTTTCAACATTTTATCAATTTTTTAGCATTTTTGAGCCATTTTCAGGCAATTTTCAGGCATTTTCAGAAATTTAGGGTTTATTTTTAGGCATTTTAAGCCATTTTTCATTCACTTTAAGTTATTTTTAAGGCATTTAAAGCCATTTTTCAGGCATTTTAAACCATTTTTCAGCAAATGTTGACTTCATTTTCACCATTTTATCAATTTTTTAGCATTTTTGAGCCATTTTCAGGCAATTTTCAGGCATTTTCAGAAATTTAGGGTTTATTTTTAGGCATTTTAAGCCATTCTTCATTCACTTTAAGTTATTTTTAAGGCATTTAAAGCCATTTTTCAGGCCTTTCAGGCTTATTTTCGAGCATTTAAGTCAATTTTTGGCCTTTTTGAGCCATTTTCAGACATTTTAAGCCATTTTCAGGAATTTAGGGCCTATTTTTCGCAAAAAAGCATCACCAACCTCTCAATTTGTCCTCATTCATCGTATCGTCGAATTGTGTGTACCATGGTTCACCGCTAGTGGAAATGTAGTTGGCGAACAGCTTTTCAGTCTGGAAATTGGATTTGCAGACGAATTTCCAGCCTAAAACCCACCCGAAGACCCGAATATGCCGTCATCAAGCTGACAATTGCGATGGACATTGAGGAGGCCGAGTAGCGGAGTGACCAATCGGTGACGGCGATTCTGGAAAGTTTTGAGAAGATTTTCAGACTATTTTAGACTATTTTCAAGCTATTTTAGGCTATTTTCCGGTCATTTTGAACATTTTTGAGCCAATTTTAGACATTTTTGACTGATTTTAGACTATTTTCAGTGACGATTCATAGACGATTTCAGATTTTTCGCAAAATTTTGAGCTATTTTCAGACTAATTTTCGACGATTTTGGCCTATTTCCAGCCGATCTCAGACTATTTCTTGGTTTTTTTAGACGTTTTTGAGCCTATTTCAAACAATTTCCGACGGATCTTAGGTCATTTCAGTCGATTTATGAACGATTTCCGACAAATTTGGTATACCGTAAAATCTGTATTGATATTGCATGCAAGTCTATTGTTCAAGTCACCTCAAGGGGTGCAACTCTATTAGAGGGGCAATTCAAATAGAGGCTGCAATTCTATTTTTCAAACTACGAAAATTTTGAAAAAAAAAGTTTTATTATGAAAATCAACAAAAAAGTAACAAATTGAAACAACAAAAGGAAAATATTCAAAAAATTGAGGCGTCACTGTCATAGTTATTGTCTTCTTCCTCGGCATGGTTCATTTCTCCATCGTCTTCCTCAATTTCAATATCTCCCAAAATCTCCTGAATTTCTTCCATTTCTCGTTCTGCTCGTCTTGTCTTCAATAACTGTACGCCTTCTGGAATTTCTCCATCTTTCTTGAAACAATGAATTGCCTCATCATCTTCGCCATTTCTTCCATTTTTTAATCCGCATCCTTTGAATGATCTTACAATGTATTCCTTCGGGATATTTTCCCACGCCAATTGAATCCATTTCAAATAAACTTCCATACTGGGAGCACGCATATTTCCCGCCGGGGTGAACGATTTCGTTCCATGAACCATCCAATCTTCGTACTCTTTTCTGATGAAAGATTTAAACATTGCGTTCCAATATACATCTGGAGCCTGAAAAATCGGGTCACGCAAAGTTTCAATAAAATCTACTCACTTGTAAGAATTTTGTGCATCCTCCAGGAATCACCGCAGTGTCTAGTCTCAGTTGTTTCAATACTTTTTTAGTGTCTGTACTGATGTGGCAACGGTAAGAGTCCCATACTAACAACCTTTTTCCGAACATTGAGTGACCGAGAACTTTTTCAAGAAAAGTTTTTGTGATTTCATCGTTGAAAAATGTTCTGTCACACCAAACCAACTGCAAAGTTTTTCTAAATGTTTCCTCAATACTTTGCACTGGTCTTTTTCTTGGAAGAAGTACAAAAGGTTTGCACTTAAAACCGTCTGATCGAGCGCACAGCATTACTGTAACATGCAATTTCTCGTGTCCCGTGGTTTTCACTGAAACCTGAAATTGAAACGTTTAGCTTGTTATTTTTGAGTGTGCTGACTTGTTTAGATCCTCGATCCGCTACAGTCAAACTATTCGAACAATCCAGATAAACCGCCGTCTCATCACATGCGAAAATTTTGTCATAATTATTCATGGTAATTAATCGTTCCACATAAAGGAGAAAGTCAATAATTTTCTCCACATAAAACTCTGGCGGTTTTTGACAGACTGTTGTAGCACGTCTACTCGAAAATCCATGCCGCTTCAAAAAAGAAACCAGCCATCCATTCGAGAACTGCAACATTTAATGTTTAATCTCAAGTAGGTAATCTGTTTTCAAACCTTCATATCACTATTTGAAATAGACTTGGCGCGATTCTGGATTCCAATACGAGTAATACGAAGCTTTTTTTCTCTTTGCTCTCGGACCCATTCCGCAAGTTTAGTATCAAAATCTTTATCATTCACTTTACGCCCTGCGCCATCGAGCCGTTTTTTCTTTTTTCCATTTTCAGCGATTGTTGCTATTATTTTTTCTTTCTGAGCTCTCCATTGTTGCACATTTTGTCTTGAAACTCCAAATTTCTTAGCTGCTTCCGTGTTATTTTTTGATTCTGCCCATTTCACCACCGTAAGCTTGTAATCCAAGGGGTGGGCTCCACGCTTTCTCTTTCTAGAGTTTCCACCAACTTTTTCAACGTCTTCCACGTCTTCCACGTTTTCCACGTCTTCCACGTTTTCCACGTCTTCCACGTCTTCCACGTTTTCCACGTCTTCCACGTCTTCTACGTTTTCCACGTCTTCGAGGACTTCTTCAGAACTCATTGCTCGTGTTGCTCGCTTCAATAAATGGAAAATATTGTTAAAAAAACAAAGAAAAATAAAAATAAATCAGAAATTAAGTAGGTAGTTTAAAAAAAAAGAAATTCGAAAAACAACTGTGCAATTGTTCGTCACGGTGTCACAGACTAAAAATTGCACAGTACTCCCGGCGGAGCCGCAATTCTGCTGGAGATGCAATTGTATTACGGGGGCAATTCAATTAAAGGCTGCAAGTCTATTTTTCAAGTGCCCTCAAGGGGTGCAAGTCTATTAGAGGGGCAATTCAAATAGAGGCGCAATATCAATACAGATTTTACGGTATTTTTCAACGAGTTTAATGAATTTTCAGCGAAACCAGTTATAGCTACTTTAAGCAAATTTTAAGCTATTTTTAGCTTCTTTTTCAGCGGTTTTAGCTCATTTTCAGTCATTTTCGAAGTACTTTTTGTCGGTTTGGGATCATTTTGGGTCATTTTTGTGTATTTTAGGCTATTTTAAAGCCATTTTGAGATAATTTTCGAACTTTCAGCCATATTCGACGAATTTTGGGTCATTTTCTGATAATTTCCATGAACTTTTAGGGGAATTTCAGTCTAGCTGTTCTGAACAATTTTTAGCGAATTTGAGGCATTTTTCAGCATTTTTAGCTTATTTTAAGCCACTTTCAGACAATTTTCAACGATTTCGGACCACACTTTGGGGATTCCAGGCTATTCAGAATCTATTCCAAGACAAATTTTCAACTTTGGGGGGGGGGGGGGGGTTTTTTCGATAATTTCTACGAATTTTCAGCAATCTGGTTATAGCCGGTCTAAACGATTTTTAGCAAATTTAAGGCATTTTTAAGCAATTCTAGCCGATTTTAAGTCATTTTCGGCTTATTTTTAGTTGATTTCAGACGATTTTCGGCGCTTTCTGATAATTTTTCATGTTTTTAGGCAATTTTTTTTAAATTTAGAGCCGTTTTCGACGAATTTTGGGTCATTTTCTGAAAATTTCAATGAATTTTAGCGAAATTTTAGTCTAGTTGTTCTGAACGCTTTTTAACCAATTTCAGACGATTTTCAGCATTTTTGCTTATTTTAAGACGATTTGAGACGGTTTTCAGCAAATTTTGTAGTGATTTTAGTCATTTTTCTTACAATTTTTGATGAAAAACTCACACATCAGTGGCGAAATAAAATGCGCTAGACGTCAGTCGTCCATATTGATCTTCTGCGTATTTTCCTTCAAAATTTAGACCTTTTTTAGAATTTTCCCCCGATTTTCAGACCTTTTTCCACCTTTTCCATGATTTTCAACACGTACATGTGGGGTAGATGGATGTTCAAGTCGAATGCGATGGTTTGAAGAATCATACTCTCGAGGAGCACGATGATTTGAGCCGCCTCGTTGCGCGCCTGGAAATTTTGGATTTTTGGGGGTTTTTTGGTCCAAAAATTGCTGGAAAACTGAATTTTTGAGCTTAAAAACCATCTTTCAATGCCAAAAACCTAACTTACATTCTCGGTTGCCAACTGTTTTCTGTCCTTTCGGTCTCGCCAGACTCCAACGACATGCGACAGTTTTCGAGGGCATTCGTGCGATTTTCCAGCCAAAAATACGCACGCCGCTCCGACATCCTGGAGTTTTAAAGCTCAAAAACGGCGAAAATTTGATTTTTTAAAAATTTTTACCCGATAATCATATTTTCTAAAACTGTGCCAGTAGTAGAAGCGATGCATATGGGTGTGCGCGACGCAGATGCCGGTGTGGGTGCTGAAAAATTTTTTTTTCAAATTTTTTTAGAAAATCGAAAAAAAATTTAGAGTACATTCTCATTTTGGGATCCTTCACATTATTGAGTCCATCGATCATTTCTTGAATAAACGCTGACGCTAGCTGCCGATAGGTCAACTCCTCCTCGCGACTCATTCCCTCCTTTTGACTTGCCGTGTTTTTCATCTAAAAATTCGGAAAAATCACAATTTTTAACCCCAAAAAAAGGTTGCCTCCTCTTCTGTGAAAATCCACTTGGAAGGCGCGGGTTTGTGGACTGGAGAACCCGCGCCTTGTTTCGACATTGCATTTGAGTTTAATTCTGAAATTTTGGAAATCTAGCTTATTCTAGTTTTTTTTTGTTTGTTTTTCCCTTCAAAAATATAAAAATCATTAAAAATTAGCTTGAAAATCGTTCAGAACTTGCAAAATTTAATCCAATTTTCCAACTGGAATGTGCAAGTGCGCTCTACTGGACGCACTGCGTGTCGCGTCGCGGTCCACTTCCTCGGCTTTTTTCGATGACTCATCACACATTTTCAGCCTTTTTTCTCGAATTTCAGCGATTTTTAATGGATTTTCTTGATTTTTTCGCTTCTCATATTATTTGGATTTCAATTCTCCATCGATTACTACTAATTTTTCACCCAATTCATCGTCTTTTCGCTGAGATATTCACTGTTTTCCACCCCGATCCAATACTCTTTGCCGGCACTGAAATTCTTCAAAATTCATCGAAAAACATCGGGTTTTTTGTGTTAAATATGTTAATTAATTTATTTTGAACTAGAAAATTATAAGTGTCATCGAAAAATCTCAAAATTTTCGCTAAAAATCGAGATCTGCTGAGGTCCCATTTTCCGATTTTTCTTCCCTTGACTTTCATCGATTTTGGCAGTGAAATCCCGCTGAAAAGCGTATCCGACGCTTGAAAATAAGACGAATAATCGGTTTTCAGTGAGAAAATCTGAAAATTTCTCTGAAGTTTTTTTTACGAAAAATTGCGAAATCTTCGATTTTCGGAAATCCGGCAGAACTCGATTTGCAGCATGATTTAGGTGAGTTCCTGTTGTTTTTCCGATAATTTCCATGCATTTTGCCCTCTTTTCTTGATTTTTTTTTTCGCTGAAAAAGGTTTTTGCATTGCTCATACTTAGTCATTTTTTTCTTGTTTGTTCTGCGATGGCTTTTGATCTCATGATGTTGTTGGTCACATTCTGTTTATTTCCTCGTTCTTCTTCTGTTGAAACTGTCATGTTAACCACGAGAAATTGCTCAATTTTTCGCAACTTTTCTAGAATTGCCTCTCTGTGTCTCTCACTCTCTCACCCATCACAGTTTCCCCGGAAGGCGTTTTCCCATAGTTTCGCACCCACTAATTATGCTATTCAGGTGTATTTTCTTGACTCTGTCAATGAATTTTCCCCCTTTTTCCGCCAACAAAAACGGACCATCATGGTGGTCCCATCTTCACCCTTTGTTCTCATACTCTCTTTGGCATCTCTGCGTCTCTCATTTCTCCGCAATGTCTCTTTTCCCGGTGTCCTCCTCCTCTTCACCCTTTAGCCTCCAAAATCTCGATTCTCTCCCCCTTTTGTCTGCCAATTCGCCTTCTAGATATTCTTTTTCTCTTCCTAAACCTCAATTTTTACTCGTTTCTCTCTCTCTGTAAAAATCAGTTTTTACAGATTCCAGCACTGATCAATATGTCGTTTTCGAACAAATTGATCAAGGAGAAGAATGGTTCCAGATACGGCAGGATGATTCACCCTTGGCTCCGACAGAAAGCAGATGTAAGTTTGAAACTTGGGTTTGGAGGAGATTCGTAGCGATTTATAAGTGAGAAAACGAGCTTAAATGGCTTAAAAATAGCCTAGGGAATTCACTTATTTAGCTGGCCGAGTTTTGGGGATTTCTAGGCCACCATACAACTTTTGAGTTTTAGCGCCGATTTTCTTCTGAAAAAATGATAACTTGTTTTTGAGGGATTTAAAGCGATTTATGACTGTGAAAATGAGCTTAAATGGCTAAAAAATAGCCTAGGGAACTCTCCTATTTAGCTGGCCGAGTTTGGGGATTTCTAGGCCACCATATAAATTTTGAGTTTTGAAGCCGATTTTCTTCTAAAAAAAATTATAACTTGTTTTTGAAGGATTTTAAGCGATTTTTTTACTGAAAAATGAGCTTGAATGGCTTAAATATAGCCTAGGGAACTCTCCTATTCAGCTGGCCGAGTTTTGGGGATTTCTAGGCCACCATACAAATTTTGAATTTTGAAGCCGATTTTTGCAAAGAAGTTTTTGAGGGATTTTTAGTGTTTTATGACTGGAAAAATTAGCTTAAATGACGTCTCATGTAGCTGGCCTAGTTTGGGATTTCCTAGGCCACCTTTCTTTGTTTTTAGTATTTCAGTTATTTTCGGGTAATTATAGGATTTTCTAGGTAATTGATCCCTTAAATTGCTGTATTAGAACCGGAATTTTCAGTTTTTGCGCCGATTTTTTCCTTAAAAAATTCGACAAGAACGCGAAAAAAAGTATGGGAAAAAGCCGAAAAAACCCTCTAATCCCCGAATTGCGGCTAAAATCCGAAATCATGACTGAATTCCCTTTTCCAGATGATCGCCGACTCACCGAGTCGACGAGACGGCATGACGTACGAGGAGGAGCTGTCGAAGCGACAACAAGGCGGAGTATTTATCTTCCACATGGTGGCAGGACTCACACAAGGGAAAGGCGAGCAGTGAGTAATGATAGAGCAGTGGCTATAGGCAAAATAGGTTCGGGAAAGCTAGCTGGATCGAGGGTTTGGAGGCTTTTCGGGGTGGTTTTGGGAAGGTTTTTTGACCAAAATTCCTGTAAAACCATGAAATTCTTGCTTCTCCATCCTTTCCATTACTTTTCCCCAGGCCTTTTTGCCCTCTTGATCAAAATTCGTTATTTGGACGAATTAACAAAACAGCGACTTCTCGGACCTAACCTATCTCGATGTTGATAATTGGTCGTCGTACCAAATATCAAATAGGGCAAATCGATTCATTTTGATTCCTCACTCATCGAGCACTGCGATATTATTACAGCGGTCTGAGCGGCGTGGCGGCATCACTGTTCAACCGTTTCTTCAATATCCACTCGTTCAAAAAGTGCGATTTTCGGGACGTCGCTGCGGCTTGCGTGTTTCTCGGTGGCAAGAACGAGGATACGCCGAAGAAGCTCAAATATGTGGTAAACCAGCTGTGGACACTCAAATACCCTCAACAGAAGCACTTCCCGTCGGAGGCGACGTTTCTGGCGCAGTGCGATGTTGTTACGTTTTTGGAGGAGATTCTACTCAAAACAGTCTGTAAGTTTGGTCGAAAATTAGGTTGCTCAGTATGGTTTTAGACGGATTCTAGACATCAAATATCGTGAAAACAGTCCTTTTTGAGCTAAAACGATTCGAAAATTCGATTGCTCAGCATACCGTAAAACCTGTATTAGAAAGGCTCCTCTTTCTATTGTTCCAAGGTACCTCCGGAGGCCCTTCTAATACAGGTTTTACGGTAGTTTCAGATATATTCTAGAAATCATTGCTCATCGTTAATTTCATCCTCAATTCTTACAGCATTCGACATCAATGTAGACCTGCCGCATCAATATGTATTAAAACTGATGCGAGACGTTGAAAAGGGACGAAATGTCTACAAGGAGATGGTGAAGACGGCGTATTATATGGCCACTGATGTGTGAGTTTGATTAATCTTACAATTAGCTCAAAAGACACGACATTGTGGCTTTAAACCCTCCAAAACGACCAATTTTCAATCTGCAATTTACAGATTAATTATCACGGACTGGAGTGTTCGATACTCATGTGCCTCGGTGGCCACCGCTTGCGTCAACATCGCCTCCTTCTTCCACAACATCAAAATGGACGATATAGTGCCTCTGGACTTTGCTGATAAGTGGTATTGTTTCGATGATGATACAATGACACGAGGCGAGGTTGATGTGATGACCAGAGAATTCCTGGATATTTATGCCAGAAATCCACAATTCCACATTGGTTCTCTTCGAAAAATAGATATCAATAACAAAGTGAAAATTGTGCCGCAACGATCTCCTCATCATCTCACGACGCCACCTCAACAAACGCCGCCCATCCAGCCATCCTCGTCATCTTCGAATTTCAAAAAGTTGGACATGGAGGCGTACAAAGGGAGACAGAAGACGTTGTCGGGATCCGGAGTTGCGCCAGTCGACACCACGACTTCTCCAGCGATCCGTCAGAGCTTTTTGCCGGATGTGAAGAATCAGAAGGTGGTGGAACGGGGAATGATGGAGCATGCTGCTCAGCAGAAGCAGTATCACGAAGCCGCCGCCGCTGCTCATCAGCAACGTCATCACAATCATCCATCGTCAAGCTCCGCCCATCACCGTAGCCATAACCATCAGCAGCAACAGAAGCATCATCAGTATGATGAGTCGCGAGCGGCGAAGAGACCACAGGAATATGAGGATCCAAATGTGTAAGTTTTGAGGGGTTACAGCAGATATGAGCAATTAATAGAAAACTTTGAATCCAAATGTGTAAGTTGGAAGATTTGGGTCTTACTGTAGTTGCTTTAAAGATGAGAAATTTTATAGAATACTTAATCTCATCTCCTTCTAGTTTCAGCTCCAAGAAATCCCGTATGGACCGGTACAATCAACAATTCGTCGCTGCCTCCTCCTCAACGATGGTTCAATCCACTACCACAACCACCAAAATCATGATGGA